GCCTTGGTGAGGTCGACGAAGCACGCGAACACCGCAGTACTCTTCTTCCTCGCGAGCTCATGGAGCCGCTGGATGGCGAACAGCATGTCGAGCGTCGACCGGTGTGGGCGGAAACCGCTCTGCTCCTCCGGGAGGATGCCCTCTCGCTCGCAGTAGTGGCTCAGTCGTGTAGCGACGACCTTAAGCAGCACCTTGCCGGCGTGTGCGACGAGCGAGATGCCCCGGTAGTTGCCGCACTCCATCGTGTCCCCCTTCTTGAACAGCACTTTGATGGTGGCATCCTTCCACTGCTGTGGTACGTCCCCAGTCTGCCACACGTCCACGACAATGGCGTGGAATTCGCGGAGGAGACCTTGATCTCCGTCCAGGAAAAGCTTGATCAGCTCAGCCGGTAGGTCGTCCAGCCCGACGGCCTTTCTATTGGCCATTTCCCGTACCGCTTCCTCAACCTCGCTATCAACGCACCCGGCTGTGTCGCCTCCAGGACTTGCACGTCCTTGTCTGTACCTGTTGACCACGACTTCCACGCCACCGGGCTTCCACGCCACCTCCAGCAGAGATGTCACACCGTTCCGAGCTACCACGCTCCACCCCAAAGTAGGAAAGGCTACCACGCCAGCGGATAGTTTCTGTGCTTACCGTTCAGCGGCTTCCACGCTGGTGGCTGTTTTATTTCCCACCGCGGGACCCCGCGCCGAGGCAATAGTCTACGCAGCAAAATTGACGAAGCAAACATATAGGATAAAGTAGTAAGTCCGTGCTTAGGGGTAAGGGCTAGGGCCAGGGATAGGGTCTGTGTGCCCCTTCCCTGTTCTTTTTCTACATACTCTTAAAATCCTGCGTGGGCGGTCCCGCCGAGGCACAAAGCTACTCAACAAACTCAAGAACGAGTTGGGATATACATTGCCATCCCAATCAATGCGTGTGCCGTAGGTTGCCAACCACAGCGTGTGCCGTGGGTTGCACAAGATACCACGCCCCCTGGGCCCTGGGGACCGATTTCCAAGACTTGATTACTCCACGAAGAAGAGAATACCGAAGTCGAATGAAACATGTTCGGAAAGCTCTCGACGGGAGGGTTCCAACGCCGCCAGATTCGGCACCGCCGCTGTTTTCTGCTGCGGAGTACTCGAGCTTTGATGAATCGGTCCAGGGGGTGTGCTATCTTATGCAACCTAACGTATGTCGCTACCGTAGTAGTTCCAACGGACAACCTTCTGTGCCTCCCCCCCCCCCCCCCCC